CCCCTTTTTTTTTTTTTTTTTTTTTTTTTTTTTTTTTGATATTTTCTCTTCAGCGTTTAATAGTGATGCATCGAAATGCTAAAATGATGCACCTTGCTTGCCTCACCTTACTTCCAGTATCGTTTACGGCGCTAAATATTTCACAAATCTGCTCCTTCACTTATATCTCATTGTTTCGCTTCTCCGTCTTGCAAATTAGTTACATGACCATTCAAAAAAATGGCGGTTAGGAGGCTGTACTGATGATTTCCGCTCCTATACGCATGCATATGGTTCGGTCTATGTTTGCAGCTAAGGGATGAAACACAGAGACTGCGTCATAAAATGTCTTCATACGCATGACATTCACGTGAAATCCTTCTATTCTTCTATTTCACAGACCAGCCCGGCATGGAGGGCAGTTCGTGTACAACAACAAGGTTTAGTCGCTAAAGCGCATCCGAGCTTTTAAGAATGGGCGAGCTGGGCGCAGTGAAATGTTGTTCTACGTGATGATCACGGGAGTGGTATTTGCATGCATAAGCCACCTCAGCCGAGGAGAATATTTTGATTTTTTTTATACAAATTTACATTAATTTAAATATGCACAAAAAAAGGTATTTTCTGCCCTTTAAAAATCAGAATTTCCGTATTTTGTCTCGATGAGAAGCGGACTTTGGATTTTACAAGTATTTTCCAAAAAATTTAAAGGCAAAAAAAATCGAAAATCAAAAATTTCAAAAATCTTTCCGATACTTAATTTTTTGTGATAATGCTAAACAGCTTTTACAGTCAAACATACAACTGATGATGATGAAATGCCGGCGCTCGTTAGCGATACTGATGAAGATGCTGCTGAACCACAAACAGCTGATGCAAACAGGAAGCAACAGCAGCAGGATCATTCGATGGAAGTAGGTAGGTGTAGCAGCAACACATCCTCTAAATTCGTGCGAAAAAAACATGAGAAGTGGACTTAGGGGCGATTAGGATCAAAACTGGACTCGGATAAAAACATTAAAGTTTTGGTACTGCTGTTAAGAATTTGTTCAGTGAATGGGAAGAGTGAATATTTAAATAAATAATAAAATATTTTAATGTTAAGAAGAAGAAATTGATAAAATTTTAAATGTGTTGAGAATTATTTTTAATGGTAAGAAATGTTTTGGTGTCCATTAAGAGTCGTATACATTTCTTACCATTACCACAATTGGACCACGCCGTCAGTACGACTTCGATTGTGGTAATTAGCATGAGCGACCTCGTCAGTATGACTTCGATTGTGGTAATTAGCATGAATTTGATTTTAATTTAAAAAAATATATTATTGAAAAGAGATAGGTATAGTAATAATAAAAGGTAAATGTGTGAGAGAGAGAAGAGTTGATATAAAATTTAAAGTTAGCTGTGAGAGTTTGTGATTCACTTGGATAGAACTTTGAACTGGTTTTTGTTTATGCGCCAGTTGTAATGAAACAACAGATGCAGCTAATTTTAGCTTAATATTTAGATCATGATCTGTCATCGACAAGCAACAGGACTTCATCCGAAAAGGCCAAAAAATCGGTAATTGAACTTTTTTGTCGCCCTCAGTTTGCTTCCTTAGATCGGCTTTTGGAAGTAGCTAGGGAATGAGTGCACGTTATCAAACAAGTAGAAGCTGAAATCAGGAATTTGTTTCATAGGTGCTTTGTTGGTATTTTTGCCGCTGATACACACACACACACACACACACACACTAGCATCTACATATTTCTTGTGCTGGACCGTTTTCTTATCCGCATATCCTTCATAAACTCTCATTTGGATCCTTATATCTCACTAGAGCTATTTCCAGTTGCATGGATAATACCATTCTGCAAATTACTCCTTCGATTCTCTGTTTTGCAAGGTCCTCACGTGGTCTTTGACTGCAGCAGCGGAGGACAGCGAAGAGTGCCAGCCCTTTATTCTCCAACAAAAGCTTCACTTCAAATAAAACGACAAGCCGAGGCGCCGCACAAGCTATTGAGCAGAAGGGGAACGGTAGTCGTGTGGAGATGGCCAGTTAGTAGAGTTAGTTGTGACCGGACATGACAGACTAGTGACGCGCATTGATTTCAGGACTGAGAACCTGGGTTTTTGGAAGAGGTTTATTTAGGGAAAATCACTGGAAGGTTTAGAATTTGGTGGAACTGTTAGAAATTAGTGAGTGGGGGGAACTAGGTCGAAGTGTTAAGAATTAGTGAGAGGAGGAAAATGGGTTGAATTGTAGGGGTACACGTGTTTTGTGCAACACTCTTAATAAATTAACAAAGTGATGTAAATTGTTTGCACACATGCTCTTCTCATCACTCATTTCGTGTCATTCGTAAAGGTAGTTTAAAACTGACACAAAAAAACATTGCTATTTTGATCAAAAAGTGTTGTTGCGGACGGTAGAATGCGTACGGATCTTGCACAGAGGTCGAAATGCGGTGAGCAAAGCTGAAACTTAGAGAAATTGACGTAAGGGCACCATCAGGAATGGGGCCTGCGGCTTAATTTGACTCAACATGGAAAAACTCACCTGTCTGGACACTGTGAGGATTGACAGATTGAGAGCTCTTTCTTGATTCGGTTTGAGAAAATACCTGAATAATTGGCCAACGCACGGGCTGCCCTTGTGAAAATGCATTTTTTGCATAGTTCCCCTCAGTTTTTTTCGCTACCGGCACAGGTTTTCCCGGCAGATGCTTCTAGCTAAACAAATTAAAACTGGCCATCAGTCAGGAAACACCCCCTTAAAATTTCAGCTTTCAAGCTTTTCTGGCTTCTGAGTTAGCAACTTACTCGAAAAAAAAAATTTTACAGGCCCGTACATGGGTACCACGCTTACCTGGGGCTGGGTTTGAGCTATCTACTTGGATGGGGGACGTCCCCTTAAAATTTCAGCCTCTTAGCATTTCTGGTTCCCGAGCTAGTAGTTTACCCGTAGAGAACTTTGGCGGGCTCGCACGAGA